CCCTGAAGGGTTACGCAACTCGTTCCCTGGCGCTCGCGTCTCGCGGCGTCTTCGTGTGCTAACGCGATTAAACTCTTTCTGTGAGAACACAGAATTTAATGATCGATTGAATTTCTTCAGAGAGGCCGTTATTGATTGGGAGGTTGTTAGAATCACAACTACGGTTCGGATTCTGGTGAAGATGAATGTAATCGAGCAAGAATACGGCAGCTAAATGCCACGGGATGTCGCTTGGAACTGTCATGGTCTACAGAGAGAACATACCGGAAGGAAAAAACGACGAACCTGTCAGAACAGCCAATCTCCGTATTTGAATCCAGGAAATTTGCGATATCCGCCATAAACAGGCGTTGTAATTACATTGAATACCTGAAATGTGACGTTTGAGTCATTGAAATGTGACGTTTGAGTCGTTGAAATGTCACGTTTAAGTTTTTGAAATGTCACGTTTAAGTTATTGAAATGTTACGTTTGAGTCATTGAAATGTGACGTTTGAGTCATTGAAATGTCACGTTTGAGTAATTGAAATGTCACGTTTAAGTTATTGAAATGTCACGTTTGAGTCACTGAAATGTCACGTTTGAGTCATTGAAAGGTGATGATGGTGAATATACAGTTTTACCCAGTCGTTCCTAGTTTGCGTAATTTTGAGGTGGATTGACTATAAGAAACAGTGTCCCCGCTTCAGATTAATCCCTTAATACCACACAGGCCTGGAGTAAACCTGCCGCTACCTGGCTACATTCAAGCGCTGTACATTAAACATTATTTTCCCTCGGGCCAAGAAACCATTCATTCTGGCGAGGCTCTGCTTCCTGGCTTAGAAACCAATTACTAATGATGACTCATTCTGAGCAGCAGAATTATCTGAAAATGGGATTGAAGGGAACGTTTTCCATTTTTGTAAAATCGCACTTGCAGGCTTACGCCATCATTAAAAGGGAACTTAAATGTCTCTTGGTGTGACGCGCACCTGTGACTCAGATTACGCCGACGCTCGCATTTTGCCGTCCGTGTCGCTGTGGACCAGCTGGTGGGTATTGTTACCCATAAGACCTTTGTTGCAAAAGGTCGATTTAAATAGATGATACACGATTTATGTGTTTAATAAAGTGTTGTGTCGGTAGCTGTCTTCTGGGCTGTAGCGCCATGTAATCTTGTAGAAGTTTACAGACGTTTCAGAGATTATTGCTGCCTCCATCATCAGGACGTCTGAAACGTCGGTATAATGTTTATGTAAAAATCGTATATTTTAATGAGAATTGTGTTCTATGTTATGTGCTTTGTGCAACAAGACGATTTGAAGAAGAAGGTAAGGGTTAGATTAATGTGGAGAGGTTGAAATCAGACGAAAGTTAATTTCGCTTGACAATTTTTTTTTCCATCTGAATCTGTATGAGTATTTTCTAAAACGAAAAATTGAGGTGGGCCGACAGACAAGTATTATTCTGTTTGTGCAAGGAATGTATACACTTAATAAAGTATTACGGCAAATATAAAACTTTCTTCGCTTGATTTCTTTACTTTCCTGAGCTACAGACGTAATTACTTTGCCGTGCATTGTGGGTGAGAAGAAAGACTTCGTCCTGCTGGCGCCTCTTGAAGAAGTAAGAACCCATAAAACTCGCGGTCCGCTCTCACTGCCTTGTGGACCCCTGCTGTCTCTTCCCTGCTCAGTGGTTGCTATTTTACCAGGCGCTCTGAATTTCACTCACAAGTAGGCGCCATCTAGTGTAGCCGGCCGGAGGTGGGGGTGTTCTGTGTACGAAGGCAGTACCACAAACGAGACTCTGGCGACCGACCCACGGCCATTATTCAGTCCCATGTTATGGAAAATGGCGTTACAAGAAACTCGTTAAATTAATATGCTCGGTTTCTGAGTTTTTGTCTTCTTTTTTTTAGTGTATCGCGAATTATTATTGCAGTGAAAGATTTATTTAAATACTCTGAATTAACTACGTGGTCTGTACTATGACGAATGACAGTCAGCTTCTGAGAGATTAATTGCTGAAGAAGTTTAATCATTCATTCATGGCTTGTTAGAAAGTAGCGTATCATTTGTTTGGAGGCACTGGAAAAAATCACATTTAAATCTCAGGGCTGTCCGAAAGGCGAGGTACGAACGCGGGACCCTCGAATACAAAGCTCACATAATACCCACTACATCTGGAAGTCCGATTCTTATATTTGTGCATGCATTAATATAAGTTTTCCCATTAGTGCATTTGACCACATTGTCGTTGCTGTATTATCTAGCCGTTACTTCTGATTCGTGGTTAAAAAGTCATAATTTTTCTTCAACAGAATTACAACATAATTTGAGACGCCATTTTTCATATGACGGCTTACCGCTGTATTGGCACGCAGAACCTGCTCAACAAGTCATAGCATTATTGTATATTAGCCCTTAAACATCCAGTGGTAACTATATGTACCACCTACTCTTATAGACTGCAATTCATATTTTCCACGAGTGTATATACGAGTTACCGTGACTGTCAGAGTAATGATCGATTGTTATCGTAACAGCATCAGTCAACTTAGTGATCTTTTTTCATGTTTCGAGGTACGAAACGGAATTTCCAGATGTTATTTTGATGATGTACGTTCTTCAAAGGGCTGGCGACGTCAATAACTCGGGAGCTGTCAAATTTTTCTTTGAACAGCGATTCATCGACTGAACCGGGGAGTGAACTAGCAGTTTCTACTGATTTCGGAATGGAAGCCTCTGTTAACGGTTGTCTGGTTTCAGTTGTGTGAGATCACTGATCGTGCCCGAAGGCTTTCACACGATCTGAAGCGATCTGCAATTAGTCTTCATCACTCGTGGAGAAAGAAATCTGTCTGTGTTACAGTAGCTGCTTCCCCTCTCCGTTTCGGCTTTAAATTGACTTCCTGTCGCTCCAGCTCAGTCAGACAGAAGTACAGGCCGGCGACCGATTACGTATCTCCGTCAGTCTCTGGCCTCCTGCGTCTTCTGGGACTCTGGCTTCCATTCTGCCCGTGGTCAATGTCTTTCTGTACCGCGGTTTGCTGTGGAGGTGAGGGGTTCTTCCGACGGCACAATATCTTCGTCATCGAGTCCTGCCAAATGCCGGGACCGGATTCGTAACACGAGAGGAATCAGTAGCCTGCAGGCCTAGACCTCCTGGTTCAGATAAATTAACTTCTGCTTGATACCTGAGGGCCAGAATAGACATCCCAGCGGTTCCTTTCAAATTCATTTATTCTTTGGTCATCCTGTCATTAGATGCTGTGCAATCTGAGATGTTGACAGCGTCTTTAAATAAGAGACGATATTAGAACACTTGGACGACATATGAATAGACGTGATGATAATATTAAAGAGGATCTGAGATGAATGGGTTGTGAACGCATAAATTGGTTTGAACTGACGCACGATAAGATCGTGTATGAAGGTATTTGTGAATGCGACAACGAACGTGTGGGTTTATTGAAAATGTGCATTTTTATTGCCGGTTTAAAAGTTATTAAAGGTCCAAGGAAGGTCGTGAAATATTGAGTTATGTGAAGACTCGAATTTGGTTGAACTTCACCGGGGCAGATGCAAGTTCGGGGTTTGACTGTTACAGCTCTGAGCCTTCTGCTTTCATAAAATCTGTTCCTGAGAAACGGGCCTGGAGTCGGTGAGACCGTGGGGGTGGCCTAAGGGCGGAAGGGGAGGGCAGATTTGCCGGGTGCTTCCCAGAAAATGTTCCAACAGGCGTATCCGAGTAACGAACCACGTAAGAGAGAGAGATGAATAAATCATATAATGTACGAAAATTTATGTAATTTCTGTAGCAGCGACAGAACGGCGGAACAAGATTAGAGCGCACCGTAAAAAACGCCCGCCGCTATCAATCTCCTTCCTAATTAATTCCAGGAAAGTCTCGGAACAGAGCCCCGTGAGCTGTAGGCCACACACATCGCACTTAGTTCAGTTTTATAAATCTTAACAAGTGTTTGACGATGAAGGCGTTCAGAGGGTCTTGGAGGGATGAGCCAAACGGGATGTTTCCTAGAATGCAACGGGCTCCTTCGTGATTTATTGCAGGTCTCCTGATGCACCCTACTACTGGAGTAGAGCGAACTTATTTCACTGCCGATAGAGGCAGCAGGAACCTCTGAAACGTCGGCAGACTTCTACCAGACTGGGCGGTTAATACAGCGTGTGCACACATATTTTTTGACACCCTGTATTGTACTTAGGGCATGGAACAGTCGGTTCGCGTTCGTTGAGCCTTTGAACGGTCAGCTACTGCAATGCCCAGAGCTCATTGTGTGTCGCTTTGCGTTAGCCCACATTTGCTGTTATAGCAAAGTCCGCTTGTATGCCAAAGGTAATTGGACGCATATCAAGGATGCCGTATTATCTATTCACTTCGATTTATCAGTGTAACACAACCAGGGGTTCTCGCGCGCGGTAGGATCGCGTAATGTGCAAACAGCTCGTTAAGTTGATTCATCGATGCGTCAGTTCCAAGTGGCACACTGTGCGTATAATTGATCCTATTTCTTATCTCATAGTGAATCTGACAGCGTTCTGTTTTATAAATATTATGACGTTATTGTGTGCTCAATTGTGCTGTCAGTAGACTTAATAACAGTGTTCCTGAATTTTGCGAAATGACAGGTCACCCTATCGAAATGGGAAGTATAATTTCTTAAAATCAGGGATACTGACCGAATATTCCAAGTACACATTTGTTTTGAATTTTGTGTTTATAATTCTCAGGTTAATCAGCGATTAATTCGCTCAACAGCCTTAGAAATCTGATATCTGAAATGTTCAAGTAAAGTGTTTTCTTTGCGGTACGGACTGCATTCTTAAAAGTTAATTATTTGAAGAGACTCATCTTCAAAACGTTAATCAGCCATTTCTCTGGCGTATTCTTTTTGTCGAATGCGATTGAACGCGTTGTGTTAACGTGTAGTAAAATAAGAATTGAAAGTGGTGATATCAATAATCGATCGCAAATTTCTGTCCTTGTTGCAGGCAAAGTTGGAGACGAAAGCTTTGAAAGCGAAGCGACCAGGCTTCACGGATGACCGCTACAATGAAACTTCTTACTACATCGAGAATGGTGAGTTTATACACGTGTTCGGAGTGACACGTGCGTTTTCACTAACAAATTCAGGGTAGGAAGGCGCTTAATTAAGATAGTCGGGATTCAAAGTTTCATCCACAATGATGTATCGAGAGTGCTCCGGTGCGATACAGTGGAGTTGGTGATAATTTCAGTGAAAAATTCTGAATGTAAGAGACAATTGAACAACCTAGGTGTATTTTTTTTATTTATTTAGTGTTCTGTCTGACGACAGGTCCATATGAACAGGATCCTTCCATCCTTTTCTCGGACTGGGACCTGTTCATATACGTTCTTGGCAGATGATCCAGAAGTGGTTTGCCATTGCCTTCTTCTGTGTGTGAATGGAGTAATTGTTGGGATGCCACGGAGGAAAACTCCGTGTTGCCTAGACCACGGCCTTGCCCAACACAAGTTATAAATTCGGGCACCGCCGGGAATCGAACCCGAGACCCCAGGATTACAAGGCCAGCGTTCTAACCGCTAGACCACCGTGGCGATCAGATGGGAGTATAATAATAAAAATAATCTTATAATTAAAATGTGAAAACTGGATTCGTTAGCTTATGATAGCATCCGGTGAGATGGGGGTGGGGGGTGGGGGTGAACACTATAATGAACTTTTCCGTTCCATAAAGCCCAGGGATTTTATTAACCGGCTGATCGACTGTATGTAGTCTTCGCGACAAATGTTGTGCTGCATCAATTATTTCTCGTCGTGAAAACGGAGGAACAGGGCGGCAGCTCTTGAACCTCGAGACCGCCTTGAGCCAACACTTAATTTATTTATAGTCGTACAGCGGTGATTTCGGAGTGCTTCGCCAACGCCGTATTACAATCAAGTATTGATAATAATCCGCATTCTGCCGAGTACGTTAAACGCCACGAAGCCCCGTGGTAGACGACTTGCATCGCCTGTTTTGATGTTCGGGGTCCCTACACTTGGCTCACGGAATTTTCTTCCGGGATTTTGTTTCGTTCTCACCAGTTAAAGTATAAGAATCAGAATTACGAGTGCTTGGCCCCGAGGTGGAGGGGGGGGGGGGTCTGTCCGCACGTTTCGTTTCTGTATTTTAACACGTCTGGATGAAATATACATGTACAGGATGTCCCAAAATGTGCCTACACAACCCTTACAATGTCAGGACTATGTGTACATATTTTTGGGACAGCCTGTTGTTAGTGTAAAAGCTAATATATTTTTTTCGTCCATATTTGTCAATTCTTTAGTACATGTGATTGAAATCAAAGTTTTATTACCTGCACCAATTTTTCAACCAAACACGTGAAACATTATTACTTAAATGACGTACTTAACCGGTTCATTAAGATGTAAAAGGTTTGCTTGAAAAATTACATTTTCCGATGTGGCTCGTATTTAGCGACATCAAAGGGCCGAGTCATTTCACCCCGTGTTGTCTGCTGTCTGTACAGCGTGGTTATTTTGACGTAAATACGTCTATACAGAAGGGTCATTCCGCAAAAAGGCGTCATGAAAATGTGTAAGATGGTTACCTAGGAAACGTCATCTGTTTACTCGGCATTGTTGTTACCTATAAAACATTTCATTACATTACCTTACCTTAGGCGCCACGGTGGTCTAGCGGGTAGAACGCTGGCCTTGTAATCCTGGGGTCTCGGGTTCGAATTTATAACTTGTGTTGGGCAAGGCCGTGGTCTAGGCAACCCGGAGTTTTCCTCCGTGGCATCCCAACAATTCCTCCATTCACACACAGAAGAAGGCAATGGCAAACCACTTCTGGATCATCTGCCAAGAACGTATATGAACAGGTCCCAGTCCGAGAAAAGGATGGAAGGATCCTGTTCATATGGACCTGTCGTCAGACAGAACACTGAATAAAATAATATAAAAAACCTTACCTTACATTACCTTACATTACATTACCCTACCTTACATTACATTATATTTCATTTCATTCATCTACCACAGACCCATCTTAAGCGTAACTAATTCAAGTTAAATACGCAAAGTCTTAATCAAACTTTACTCAATTGTAAAGCATGTAAAAAGGAAATATTTAGAATAAAGCCAATATATAAACTTCCTTTCCGTATAGACGTATTTACGTCAAATTATCCGGAACCGTGGTTCCACTGACAATTTTCTTTTTGTAGTAGTAAATCTGTATATGGTAGGAGCTAACATTCAGGCACACAACGTATTACCTTGATATACGAACACCTTTCTTCTCCCCGAAACATCTGCGCCCTGTTGTCTCGATTGCCCCAGGTACATTTGATGTTTTAACTAAAATTGTAATTATTTATAATCAATACGCGGTGTATTGGTTTCCTGCTTCCACGTGATAACGGCGACGATAATTTATAATAAAACGACGCTAGAAATATATTTTCCCCCCTCCCTCTTCCTGTCTTTATTTAGTTCGCGTCTTTATAAGAGCATAATCGGGAGTGACGTCAGTTCGTATTAGAAATCGCTCTCTGACGCTTTTAAACCCTTTACCGTAATGACACTTCGATTCTGCAGGGGAATGTGGAAGGGGGGGATGAAGTCTGCTCTTGAGATTAAATCAACGGGGATTATTCGTACCCCTCCCCCACTTCTATTATTCCGGCAATTAAGTCAGGACTTCCAAAACCCGCGTTAACTTATTCTGTGTATGAGATATATCACTCTTACACTAACGCCTTAGGAATCTGATGGTGTCAGAGACCTCCTGTGCAGTCCTGTGCCAATTTAAAGACGCATTTCTGGTTTTCTACGCAGCAGAGAAGCGAGTATATCACCAACATAAAAATGCTAGGACGAATGGCGTGAAATAGTCCACGCATCTCTTCATTAAGGTCCTTCTGGACTCGTAATAATTCAATTCAATTAATTTATTAAAGTGCTTGACAACAGCCAAGCACTAAACCAGAGTACAGGATAAAATATAATAAGTAATTAATTTATTTCAATAATAATAAAAGTAAAACAAACAAACAAATGAAACTAAATATATGAATGTACCATATTAATAATGATAATAATTCGATTCATTTATTGAATTATATTTCACAAGTAAATGGGCTAAATACGATACCTAAGTAATATAATTCAATTTAATAATTCTAAATAAAATAAATAATACTTAATAATAAACAATATGTATCCCGGAAATAGCTGCTGCCCTTTGTACCTTAGGGACAAAGTCTGTCTCGGGTACATGGAAGTACATACCCCATAAAGTGGTGAAGAGATGGGATAATAATAATAATAATAATTCTGTCGCTATATATCACACACTGTACGCCCATATCGACACTAAACGAATCGATAATTACGAGTTACTCGCGATACTGCTGTCAGTCTGCTCGGCGAATGATAGAGCAGTTGGGCAGTTGACATTTATTCGCCGGTAGAAAAGTACCCCCCTTCACTACGGATCCCTGAAAGTTCATAAAGTATTAAAAAAACTCGCCATTGGACACCCCCCCCTCCCCACCTCGCGAGCGTAGTCAATCCAGGCCACACCCTGTTCATCCGATATTTTAATGTTAATATTAATGAAGGAGTTACAGAATGACTTGACACAAACCCGACCGAAAACTAAATTAACAGAGTATAACAGAGTTGTTGGGTGGGGGGGGGGGCTCCATCACAGAAAATTTACAGGCGAATGCTACAAACCCTTGAAAAACACTGTTAAACCTTCTGAGGCATTGTAGAAAAACAACATTTGTGTAGTCATCGACTTTTTTGAAATCGATCAGTCGATAAAGGAGCGGAGCTCCGTTATATCGAATTCCTTCCTCTGAGTTACAACTTCTTTTATTACGTTTGACCACATCACGCATAAAATCGATGTCATCCGTCGCCATTATATATTCCGCCAAAGAATATGCGAGGGAGAAAACTTGGATGTCAGATATTGGGAATTTATTACCTTCTCTACATCAAAGTAAAATACCGTCATTGGTATCAGCAGTCAGCTACGCAACGGATCTGTTCCAGACGTCAGGTTTAGCCTTCGACCGTCTGACACCAATTTTTGAAGAGTCACGAAACACCTCCGAAACGTCGGTGAAAACGGCGCCACACCCCAGAATACAGGCAACCATCTTCACACTCGCCACCGTGAGAACGTGAAATCGTATTTGCGTAGTTAAAATAGTAGTTTAGTGATGTCGATTCTTAACTCATTCTGTCAGTGAGTGAATTCGTAGATTCGGGACTTGAAGCGATTTCTACCTAATCAGACGGCTGAAGGCTGTTATCTCACGACACACAGAATTGGCGATTACTTCTGTAACATTTCTGGCGCTGAAAGGAATGATCATCCGGATTACACCCGGTCCCAGACGGCTTGTATAAACAAACGTTTTCATGATGTTCAATTATTTAACACAGTGGTTTCTGTGGTCCCTTAGCAGGCCTGATTATAAACCAACAAATGTATAATGTATTGATGTCAATCTAATCGCATTACAGAGCTTAATATAACCCTTAAAAAGATATTACAGAATCCACCCAAAGGAAGGAGGACAAGAGAGAGTAAAAGTTTATAAAAGTGTCATATCATTATCATCGCTGGGATTATCATTGTAATCATCAGAAGACCGCGTTTCAGAGCCATCAAACCATTTGGTGACGCATTTTTTTTTATGAAACGTAAACTTTTTTTTTAAATACCCAGTGTATTGATCCAGTATTTGCGTCGTCATTGGTCATATATGTTTATTACGACGTCCGCTTCGGCTGAAAACGCGAGGCGTCACCTCTTTGGGCGATGACCGAATCGCCTTTTAATTCCGAGCTCTCTCTCTCTCTTCGCCCTGAATAATTAAGTAGGCTTTTTAACTAGATATGAGAGAAGGTGTGGAACACGAATTATACTATTTTAGCATTACTGTGCTTTAATCTTCTCCTGTTTTTATATATTTCTGCTTCTGAAGTTCGTCATGTCGCTGGAAACGCAAAAGGTAGTTTTACAAGTTTTAAGATATGTGAAAATATTATTTCGTTATATGTAATT